GTAGGATGTTTGCCTTGCACATGGTCGACGCGGTTTCAATTCCTCTGCCCATCTCAGAGAGCCCGGCAAGCTACCGGGAGTATCTTGCCCACATGGCAGAGCCTGGCAAGCTCCCCGTGACCTATTCAATATGCCAAAAACAGTAACAACAAGTCTCACAATGGAGACATTACTGGTGCCTGCTTGAGCAAATCGATGAACAATGTCAGGACAATGCTACAAGTGCTATAGAGAGAGAGGGAGAGAGACAGACAGACAGACAGACAGAGATAGATACACAGAGAGGCAGAGACAGAGACAGAGAGAGACGGAGACAGAGATACAGAGAAGAAAAGGAAATCTAGTTATCGGTGCAGGTCACATCCAAGCCTCATTTACTCTGTGGGGCTGTGTTTCCTGTACTACCTCCTGCTGGATCCTGGGCAGCAAAACCAAGCCCTGGATCCTAGCCGACTTCCCCTAAAGCCTTTGTGCTTCTCTTCAACCCTCACAGGGTGGGACCTGAGGCTCTGCTCTCTGTCCTGATCCTTCAAAGAGGGTTTCTACGTGTTTTCTCTCACCGGGACCAGCCCTGCTGTGCTCCTTCAAATTGGTCTCTAAGAACAATTAGAGATGGGCTGGAGCATCTTTCTCACAGCATTTTTTGCATGTGAAAGCTCTGAGTTCAATCCCAGCACTTCATGATTCTCAGGCCCCAAAACAAAACAAAACAAAAAAAATACAGAGGATGAGGCATTTGCCTTGCATGGTGCAGAACCAGGTTAAATCCCCAGCATTTCGTATGGTTCCCCGAGTTCCAACAGAAATAATTCTTGAGTGCAGAACCAGGAGTAATCTCTAAGCACAGCCAGGTGTGTGACATGAAATCCAACCCTCTTCTAACTCTAAAAAATGTAACAGGGGCTGGAGCGGTAGCACAGCAGGTAGGGCATTTGCCTTGCATGCAGCCGACCAGGGTTCAATTCCCAGCATCCCGTATGGTCCCCTGAACACTGCCAGGAGTAATTCCTGAGTGCATGAGCCAGGAGTAACCCCTGTGCAACTCTGGGTGTGACTCAAAAAGCAAAAATAAATAAATGAAAATAAAAAAACATAACAAACAAAATCCCCCAATGAAAGGTATATAGTTTCAAGACCTAGTCCAGGGAATTAAACCCTTTATGGTAGTCATAATTTTACCTAGTGGTTTTGAATACTGACTTTGAAGCTCTGTACCACAAGTCCTCTGATTAGTCCTATTAATAGGAGTCCTATTTCTGGTGTGGAAGAGGTTTATGGGTGCAGTTGACTCATTGAGAGGTGCTGTGGGATTCCCAGGAACCCCTCAGGATCTCTGCTTTTGGAGATCGTTTCTAGCATGGCACTCCTATTTTGCTCTGAGTTACACTACAGAAGGATCAGGAAGGAAAGAGTCCACTCCCCGAGTCAAGATTCCCAGGGGTAAGCCTTCTGTCGAGTGGGCTCTGAGAACGTGGGCTAGGTCAGAACCCTGGCCTGATTGACCTGCTTTCTGGTGGGGGGAGAATCTTGCTTTAGAAGCCCCCTATCTGTCTCACCACAATTTATTTTAGAATTAATCAACAGTTAGGAGAACCTTCATGGAATCTTTATTTTCATTCAGAACATAAACATAGGGGCCAGAAAATTAGCTCAAAGAGAGTAAGCAGGTACTCTGTAGGCAGGAAACCTGGGTTCAATCTCTGGCACCATATGTTCCTCTGAACACAACTGAAACGACTCCAGAGCACAGAGTCAGGAGTAAGCCCTGAGCACCACTGGGTATAGCCAAAAAATCCAAGCAATCAAACAAATAAAAATCACACCCTCTCCCTCCGGCCCGCCCCACTGTTTATATTTCATATGTTCATATCTTGGTAGAACCTAAAAAAAAAACACCCGAAACCTCAGAATATAAATTTAGGCTCAAACATTTCCAAAAGTACAAGTGTGTCTTCTTTCTAATATTTTATAAATAACAGGACTCCATAACATAGACATCTGTTTCAACTATCTAATATAAATATTCCTAAAAAACTTCTGGACCTGGGGCTGGAGAGATAGCACAGAGGGTAGGGCATTTGCCTTGCACGCGGACAACCCGGGTTCGATTCCCAGCATCCCATATGGTCCCCTGAGCACCGCCAGGAGTAACTTCTGAGTGCAGAGCCAGGAGTAACCCCTGTGCATCGCCAGGTGTGACCCAAAAAGCAAAAAAAAAAAAAAAAAACCACAAAACTTCTGGACCATACCCATTATGACCAGAGGCTACTCTCAGCACAGTGCTTGGGGATCACACAAGCTCTTTGAGCTATCTTCCTGACTTCTTAAACTTCTTTTGTTTTGGTTTTTGGGGCTACAATTGGTTGTGCTCAGGGATCACTTTAGGTAATGCTCGGAACCATATACAGTATCAGGAATCAAACCTGGGTCTGCTATGTGCAGATAGTACCTTTTGTAGTATCTCTGTACTCTCTGCCCCAATTTAAAAAATACTGTTTTTCTATTTGGGTCACACCCGTCGATGCACAAGGGTTACTCCTGGCTGCACTCAGGAATTACTCCTGGCGGTGCTCAGGGGACCATATGGGACACTGGGAATCAAACGTGGGTCAGCCGCGTGCAAGGCAAATGCCCTACCCGCTGTGCTATCGCTCCAGCCCCTCAAAAATATTTATCCCCTTTGATGTATTTTTCTTCACTTTGAGAAAGCATATTCCTCTACTGCTTGTCACGTCTAGTCCACCTCTTTACCTTTCACATTCCCCCTACAATGAGTTTTTTGTTTGTTTGTTTGAAGTCCTATTGAATGCAGAAGATATTCAGAAAACAACCTGGGAAAGACTATATAGCCTTTAGGAAATCATAGTCTTAGAAAATTATAACTCAAGGCTTAAGAATAAGGAACAATAAATAATGGGAAACAATAAATACTTTCACATACAGTGAAATGTCAGAGTGTAAAAATGTCAGGCTTTGGTATCTGCTCTGACATTGTTTAGCTCTGTGCAAGTCAAGCCCTTAGCCGCCGTTTCTTACTCGTAAAACGCTCAACTACCTTAATGGATTGTATTATGTTCTAGATAAAAATTGTCTGAGGGATGGTAGTGAGAGTAAGACGCTTGCCTGGCACACGGCCCTTCCGGGTCGGATACATGGCACCCCATGTGGTCCCGGGAAGCCCCCAGGAGCGATTCCCGAGCACAGAGCCAGGAGTGAGTCCTGAGTGCTACTGGGTGTGGCCCAACCTCCCCGACCCCCAAAACCGCCCCAAATTGTCTTGACTGCCACTGACAATGCAATCAAGTTCCTGACATCTAAATGATGCTCAATAAACAGATGGCTGTTACTTTTCAAGTGACAGAGCTAAATCTGAGCGATTACACAAGAAATGATCATTCTGGGGTCTATGATGGGTAAATGAGCATTCTTTTCTTGTTTTTGTGCCCCATCTTGTGGTACTTGCGGGCTACTCCCAGTATGCTGGTTGCTCAGGGGTGCATGAGGCGGAGCTCATGCTCCCAGTCCCTTGAGCCATTTTCCTATGCCTAAACGATTGATACATACATATATATATATATATATATTTTTTTTTTTTTTGAGAGGGGAACACACCTCGTGGAGCTTAGGACTTACTCCTGGTCGGGGGTTCAGGGGATGGAACCCGGGGTCCGCTGAGCGCAAGGCGTGCACACGACCCGCAGTCCTATCTCCCCGCCCCGGGTTTTTGCTTTTGTTTTGGAAGGGGGCCCACGTGCTCAGGAATCACTCCCAGCGGCCTCGGGGCGGACCGACGTGATGCAAAGGAACCTCCTGGTGCAAGGCAAGCACCCTACCCGCTGTACTTTCTCGCCGGTCCCGTTTTTGTGGGGTGTCGGGGGCACACCCGGTGTGCTCAGCTGTCACTCCGGGGGGGGGGGGGGCGGCTCGGGCAACCGTATGCAGAGCAGAGGAATGACCCGGATCGGCTCTGCCCGCTGCACTATCGCTCTGGACCTGAACGACTGCTGTTAAGTCACCCGGACCAAAGCCTGATCTTCCGAGTCAAGCTTCTAGAAGCTCTCCCGTGGCAAAGCAGTGGAGGGATCGCAGGCGCGGAGGAGGGGAGTGGGATTGGCTTCCACACAGGCGAGCTCGGGCAGAGTACTCCCGGGAGCAAACGAGCCCTAGCTAAGGGTACGGGGGCTAGCCAAGACCAGCGCGAAGGTTCTGCCCGAGCACCCGCGCCACGAGGCACCAACGCGCCGACGGGCGACGCTCGCGCGTTTCCCCCGCCGGCGGCTCCGCTTTTCTGCGGGGCGGGGGCGGGGGCGGGGAACCGCGGCAGGGCTAGCCTATCACCATTGAGCGGCCAACGAAGTCCCGTCCTGATTGGCGGGCCGCGCGGTGACGACGTCACGCCCGCCCGCCCCGCCGACGAAGGGAGCGCCGTGGATTGGCTGGCTCGGGGCGGCGGGCGGTGGCGGAGCCCGGGCGAGTCCCGGGGCCGGGGCGGTGCTGCGTTGGCCCTTTGCCTGGCTCGGGGCGGCGGGGGGCTGCTGCGGAGGGCGGGGGGTCGGCGCGGCAGGAGCCCGGAATCGGTTCGCAGAGCCGCGGGGGTCGGAGAAGTGGTGACCGGAAGTGATCCTGGGGCTGACCGGAAGCGAGGCCTGGCGGGGGGAAGGAGAGCGGGGCGCGGGAGGGCGGGGGCTTCCTGCGGGAGGGGGCGGGGGGCGGCGCGGAGCCGGCGTGCGGGCGCCGAGTCCGGCCGCTGCGTCTGCCGGGAGGCCGGTGCCCACCCGCGGCCCGAGGGGCAGTCCGAGGAGACGGGACACCGGGGAAGGGTCCGGCCCAGGCGGGCTCCCGTGGCTTCCCCCGGGGGGTCGGAAGTCGGGGCAGCCCCGGGGTCCCGGCGCTCCGCTGCGCGGGGTGGGCGCGAGGGTGGCCGTGGACCCGGGTGGGAGGTCCCGCCTTGCGCCCGTCGCGTGGGCTCGCCCGGCCCGTCTCCGCTCACGGCTCGGTGTCTCCCGGGCCGCGCAAGGAGCCAGGATGGCCTGGGCGCTGAAGCTGCCGCTGGCCGACGAAGTGATCGAATCCGGACTCGTGCAGGACTTTGATGCCAGCCTGTCCGGAATCGGCCAGGAGCTGGGTGCCGGCGCCTACAGCATGAGGTGAGGCTTGGTGCCTTCCGAGCAACAAAGGCTGGACGGAGAGTGCGGGTGTGGAGGCGGCGGGAGGGAGCCGTCTGCAGCTAAGGAACGCGATTGCGGCGGGTCTTGCTTTTTTTTGCTTTTTTGGGTCACACCCAGCATTGCACAGGGGTTATTCCTGGCTCATGCACTCAGGAGTGACTCCTGGCGGTGCTCGGGGGACCCTAAGGGATGCTGGGAATCGAACCCGGGTCGGCCGCGTGCAAGGCGAACGCCCTCCCCGCTGTGCCGTCGCTCCTCCAGCCCCAGCGGGTCTTGCTTTTGAGCTTGGAGTACGGTGGAGGGAATTGATGGATGCAGACTGTCGGCGTTGGCAGGTCTGTGCAGGGTCAGTGGAAGAAGGAAGAATGGCCCAGGGTTAGCCGCCAGCTCAATACCGAGCCGGTTGTGTCGGTGCGGCGGACCTGGAGATGGGTGGATGGTGCCTGCATGTGTGGTAGGTCGAACTGGTCTTGTGTGTGCAAGAGGCCGGCCGCGTGGAGCATGCCTGGGATGGTTTGGCAGCTGGCGATTTGGGAGAACTGGGGCTTAGTGGTGAATAGTAATTGATGGCTGGTTGGAGGGAAGAGTGAGACCAAGTCCACGCCCAAGTCTCATAGTTTGTTCTAAAGCTACACTTAATTCTAGAGTTTATGACTTTTTTTTTCTTTTTGGGTCACATCCGGCGATGCACGGGGGTTATTCCTGGCTCATGCACTCAGGAATTACTCCTGGCGGTGCTCAGGGGACCATATGGGATGCTGGGAATCGAACCCGGATCAGCCGCGTGCAAGGCAAAAGCCCTACCCGCTGTGCTATCTCTCCAGCCCCAGTTTATGAAGCACAAGCGATGAGATTTGAGTGTGAAAGAGAACTTTAAGATGCCTCTAGACCCTTATGTAGCTAGTTAGAGGCTGATGATAGAATCTCCTTGGAAAATAGCATAACTTCACAGGTATTTTATTTGCATGTATTAGTTATTTCCTTCTTCCACTATAGTTTTTTTTTCAGTTGTGATATGAACAGGAGCCATGTTTGGAAATGTTGAAAAGCATTAAGGACTCCTTCCTTTAAGAATCTGGTTAGATGGGATGTAACTGGGTTTCACAAATAGCTTATGAGATTAAAGCAAATAGTCAGAAGTGACTTTAGAACTTAGCACTTTTATTAGGTTTATGGGGAAAGATGCTTTATAGGGGAAAGATGCTTTTTATGGGGAAAAGTTGGCAAATTAAGCACCTTTCCAGAGAGATCCTTTGAGTTATAAAATAAAATATAAACTTCCTTTCTTGATTCCTTTTAAACCAAAACAACTTTCTTTCCTTGAAGTGAAATTACAAGTTAGAACTGAATATTTCATTTTCAGAAATTTTGTTTATAGCTAGAATAATAGAGATTATTTCAGTGTACAGTGTGATTCTGCCATGCAATACCGTCTATTTGAGTAATTGGGTTTTTCTCAGGAGAAAATTCTAGTTTTACCTGACCTTGCTTATGTAAGTCTGGCCATAAAAATAGAGATTATTGTGGTCTGAAATGATCTGAACCTGTTCTGAAGCATTTCAGCATTTGATAACGTTTGACAATTTATGCTATTGTTAAAGTAAAAATTACCACAGCAAAAGACTTGCTTTTGTTTAGGGTATCTGAGATTAGAGGGAGATAAATATAACTGTACTTATTATGAAAATAGTTATAAGTTATAATCATTGGGGGGGTCCCCAGTTCAGTCCCTGGTGTCACAAGGTCCCCTTCGCACTATTGGGGAACAGCCATCCAAGCACCGAGCAGGAAGTCCCAAAACAAACAAAATTCTTCCTTTAATTTTTATTTTAGGTTAAAGTGGAATTTATATTACAGTGGATGTAAAAAATCTATTTTCCTTTATTTAATTTTGTGTGTGAGAGCTCAGTAGTGCTTGGGGGTTCCAAAATCCACATGGGGCGGTTCTGATGTTAGCACGTGATATTGGTGTTCCCCAGAGCGTTGTGTATGGAAGACTACCATTTGGGCCACATTCCCAACCCTAAAATCTACTTTTTTTTTTTTTTTTTTTGGTTCTTGGGCTACACCCAGTAGTGCTCAGGGATTACTTCTGGCTTTTCACCCACATCCAAGAATCATTCCTTGCAGACTCTGGGGACCCTACGGGGTACCATGAATCGACCCCAGGTTGGCCACGTGTTAGGCAAGCGCCCTACCCACTGTGTTGTATCTCCACCCCCTAAAATGTACTATTTTAAAGAGAATGGTTTAAGTGGTATTTACTGCAATGGTTTTCAGCTGTCAATCTGCGAACTGGTGCTGGTTCATGGGTGTAAAAAGGTTGACGAACCACTGACTCGTTGTTTCATGAGATTGTGCAATTACTACCTCCTTCTAGTTTGAAAATATTTCATTACCCTACCTGTCAAGTGATCGCTCTTTCCTTTTTCTCTAGCAATCATTAGGCATTTTGTCTGTATGGATTTACCTATTTTGAGTATTTTATGTAAGTGGAATAGTGTGTAACCTTTTGTGTCTGGCTTCAATCAGAATTTTAGGGTTCATTCTATTATCTAATATATCAGTAGTTAAGTATTTTATTCATTTTTATGACTTAATAATCTGCCATCTTATGTATATATCAATATTTCTTAATCCACTAATTTTAATGTTTTCCACTTTTGTTTTTTTTTTTTTCTTTTTTAGGTCACACCCAGCAGTGCACAGGGGTTACTCCTGGCTCATGCACTCAGGAATTACTCCTGGCGGTGCTCGGGGACCATGTGGGATGCTGGGAATCGAACCCGGGTTGGCCACGTGCAAGGCAAATGCCCTACCCACTGTGCTATCTCTCCAGCCCCCTTAGCCTGAAATACTTTTTTTTTTTTTTTTTTGCTTTTTGGGTCACACCCGGCAATGCACAGGGGTTACTCCTGGCTCATGCACTCAGGAATTACTCCTGGCGGTGCTCGGGGGACCATGTCATGGGATGCTGGGAATCGAACCCGGGATGGCCACGTGCAAGGCAAATGCCCTACCCACTGTGCTATTGCTCCAGCCCTTATGTTTTCCACTTTTGGGATATTACAAATGTTACTGTAGTGTTGTGTATATAAAGAAAGTGATCATGAAACGTGTAACTTTTGTGTAGTTACATATTTTCATTTCTTTTGGATACTGTTGCATTGCATACCTGTTACAGATTTGGGGCAAGAAAGATACTCTAGAAAGTAAGGCACATTTCTTTGCATTTGTCCTACCTCAGTTTGATCCCCTATTACCACCAGGTGTCCCTCCTGAGCATAGAGCCAGGTGTAGCCAAAATTCCAAAACAAAACCAGAGACTGGAGAGAGAGTACAGCGGATAGGGCATCTTCTTTTCCCTTTTCTTTTTCCCGGGAATAGTTGTATCACACGTGATGGTGCAAGAGAAGCACCTTAAACCCTGTACTATCTCATTCATCCTGCATCTTGTTTTGATGGAGAAGTTGCTTCACTTCGTTCACACGTGAACTTCAGAAACTAAAATCGTTGGAGGCTGCTGTTTAATACTTCACTGGCAGAGGAACTGTGCCGTTTAGCTAGTGCAGGAAGATGTGAGTCGTAACTGTGTCATGCAACTTACTCAAGGCAGTTTCACTTGCTTGATGGCCCCTTTGCACTTACAGGTCTTCACTGGGTTGAGTGACAATATTGTTAGAGCTGCAGCGCTCTAAACAAACCATTCAAGTCGGTTTCTGGACATCTACTGGTAGTGCGCATGTGCTGAGAATTCTAGGCTTGTATGCGCAAGATGACAGTTGTGCATCTGTAGGTCATTGTTGACTGTGTTACCGCCCTGTTTACCTTTTTTTGGTTTTATTTTGTTTTTGGGTCCCACCCGGCGATGCTCAGGGGTTACTCCCGGCTCTTCACTCAGGAATTACTTCTGGAGGTGCTCAGGGGACCTATATAGGATGCCGGGGATCAAATCTGGATTGGCCACTTGCAAGGCAAATGCCCTATCCGCTGTACTATCATTCCAGCCCCTGGTCTTGTTTACTTTTTAAGCGATGTGACAGTTATACCAGGTGATGATTATGTAATGAAATGTTCCAAACCAATTTTTCGGACAGAAAAAAGAGGATGTGATGATTATGCTGTGGTGACCTTTATGGGATGAATTATAAGTAGGATTCAAATTGCTGGGTCATATGGCAATGCTTTCCGAAATATTTTTTAAAACATTTCCTCTTTCTTCCCTTTGTTGCAGTTTTTTTTCCTTCAGAATTTCCAACCACCTCCCATTTTTATGGACATACTTTGAATCCCATTTTTATGGACGTTCTTTGAATTTTTTTTTCTTTTTCTTATTCTTTTTGGTTTTGGGTCACACCTGCTGGTGTGTTTGTCTTTTCTTTTGAGCCACACCTGATGGTACTCAGGGCTTACCCTAGGCACTGTGTTTAAGGCTAACTCCTGGTGGGGTTCGGAGGACCATCTGGGAACTGAACCTGGGTTGACTGCGTACCTGCTGTACTATCTCTCCGGCCCCAACCCATTAGCCCTGTCAGCTCAGGGCTGGAGGTTGTGTCCCAGGAGTGTTGCTGTGATCAGACCTCGCATGCCAGGCTCTATCTTCTCGGCTGTTTTTCCCAATCCTTTCGCACTTTTTTTCCACACAAGAGCGGTCATCGGGGTGGGGATGTTGCCTGTCAGAGCAGGTTGTGATTCTCGCGCACTTGACCACCATGCTCGTTGAGGGTTGCACCCTTTGAGTTTGGGGTGCCCTTCACACATTCACTGGGGGTCACTCTCTGAGTTGTGTGCTCGCCGGAGTTCACCGTTGCTGGCAGTGCTGCTTTATTGCACTGTCGCACGGTCCTCCCGTTGTTCATCGATTTGCTCGAGCGGGCACCAGTAACGTCTCCATCGTGAGACTTGTTCTTACTGCTTTTGGCATATCGAATATACCATGCCACGGGGAGCTTGCCAGGCTCTGCCATGCGGGTGGGATA